ACATAAAGTGCATCGGTCTCCTTATGCTGCACAAGTACGATTGATACACTGAAGGTAATGCAGTCTGTTACTTTGTGTTACAAGAGCTCTCTTCTAACACGTTTCTTTGCTTTTCTTCTGCGGAAGGGTATAGCTCGCGCCTCCGGATTACTGTCGTGAATTGCCTGTCGCATACGGCGCGGCGTGGTCACTGCACGTTCAGGTCGCTGTTTTTCTGGGTGTGCTGGCATCTTCATCGGCACGTTAGCGATTCCTTCGCGGTACGTGCAATCAACCTCCTCTTGTGTAGTGGGGCGGCAAATGCTTTGCTGTGTGGCACGCTCGACCCCAGCCACTATATGGCGGGCTAGAAAAGTCCACTCGGAGAACATCTTTCGGTTGCCTTTCGTGAAGTCCGACGGCTGTAGGTCTCTAAAAAGGGGGTTACCAGCTGCGGGATTTCCAAGCCACCAAAGACGCCATACACTGGGCGCGTCTAGCTGCGGAAAGATAAATGCCTCCGGCATTCGATGAAACTTCCCATCCCATTGCCAATGATGAGCAATGCTTGTAGGATCAGACGAAGTTTCAGCTTGCTGTAAGGTTGTATGGCTCTGTCATAATCCAGCCTCCTCTAGAATTGACCGAATTGTAGTCCCTAGGTTATCCCTCGTGATACTGTGTTGTGTAACACACTTATCGTCTAGTAAATTAGAGAAACCATCGAGAAGTACAGTCGAAAGCTCGGTCAGCGCCTTGCGAGTTTCAGCATGCTGTCGATAATGTTCAACGTGTGGAGGGATTTCCATCGGCCGTATCGAGGTGCTCTCTCCAGTATTTAGTAGGGTCGTGAGTTGATCCAAAACATCAGAGTTGCGAAATACGTAGGACATATATACAGCGTGCTTTGACTTCAGATTTTCACGCAGAAATGTAGCATGGGCCGCAATTGAAGCCAGGCAGAGTTGAAGCACAGGCGCGATATGCGCATCTCCATCCATGACAGGAAACATATTTCTCGTGCATTTTCTTACAAAGTCGTCGAGAGGGTCATCAAAATGGGGAGGTTATTCGCCAAAATGGGAGCTGTTTTGAGGCAGCCCTTTCACAACTCGACCGAAATGTTGGTCACCAGCAGATTCATACCGAAAGTATCGGTCTTGCACTCCACCAAGCGATCAGCCACATCGAAGACAAACACTAACTATCGATGGCCCACCTGTACTCCCACTACTCGCAAATGTAGCCACTCCTTTGCGAATAGAATGCGTTCCGTAAACTTTCTCGCCTGTCATGTCTTGTAGCAAGATGCTTATCGTCTTGCTGTATCGAGAGTTTTGGTTGGAGCCGAGGAAGAGCTTTCCGTGTACAAGAGTTGGATTGGACGCAAAGTACAGCCCCAATGCGAGCATCCAGCAGCATGATGGCTGCTATGGATTTGTGTAAATGTGACGGGGAACCTTTGGGCCCGATCGTTCTTGGTTTGTCTTGGTTTTGTGGAGTACACAACCCACGCTGTCGTCAGCACAATGCAAGTGCGTCAGATGCAGTGTTTCCACCGTCACAGATCGACACATCGATTCCATTGTGTCAGTAGGAAAAGATGCAAAAATCCATTGTCTTCCAGAGCCAAAGTGAGCTTTGCCAGCTGAGCATACAAAGAGTAAGATAGTGGCTGCTTTCCCGGTCTGCGTGAGCGCCCCGATTGGTCATCCTCAGCCTTCACTCTCTTGAATCCTTGGTATAGTGTTTTCAGGTCATCTAAGTATTCACTGGGTAAATCCAAACGCTTCTGCCGATACACGTCCTTTATAGTACTTCTGTAGCCACTTAAAGTGGACACTTTGAGTTTTCCCCAGTTAGTTTTGTACAGAATGAAGGCTTCAAAGTGCTGCGGTGAAAACACGGCCAGGTTTAAGCTGCCATCCTCGCAAAAGAAGGTGTCTGGTGACGGCTGCGACGCGTGAATCCACTTAGAAATCCCCTTGAGTTAGCTTTGGTAGGACTTCTTTGTATTGGCTGACGAGCACGCGCTCCGGACCTGGTCCCCGCTGAGGTTTCTTCGTATTGCCGTTTGTCTAGCCGCGTCCTCCATGGAGGCGTCGACTGTAGCCGCATCGTGGTTGTAACAGGGTTACACGGTTGTGGCGCACACATGGGTATGGAGTACCTGAAGAGTTAACAGACTCTCACTACATGACTCGTAGAGTTAACAGTGGCCTCAGT